TATCACTTGTAAAATCTCCCTTTTGACGTTCAAAATGTTCAAACGCCCTTCTGTCTGGGCGAGCATACTTCGATAACTGCACTTACGGTTGGTAAAGGGAAGTGAAAAGAACTCGGAAACGTCGAGGTAAGGTTTCGGTAGTCGTAGATGTGATTTCGCCCTCTCTATAACTCAGTGATACAAACCGTTGGTGCAATTTATATAAATGTTCGGAATTTTACGTATTCTTTTCTTCTTTAGCAAAATCCTTCTTCGTTTGAATTCAAAAGTAGGTGAATTTCGTCAGCTTACAGTATCATCGCGTCTATGAACGTTCTTTAGCAGTGTAATTTTGCCCAGAATGTTCTATTTCTCGGCGAAGAGACTGTCCGGCAAAATACGCAGTCGGCGAAGATGAGAAATTGGCTAGCGCTGCGTTAGGTTTATTCAGATCTACCTTCCCACTTTCAATTCAATCGGGCATAGACCTAGGCGATGAATTTACCGGAAAGAGAATTGAGCTAACATGTTTAGGGATCTATAGAAGATACATGGTCGCTTTACAGAGTAAAGTTATTATTTATTTTTATGTCGTTACATCCCATATTATCACTGGTAACACTGCAAACCACATGTTCATTTCACTTTTCTCTGCATGAATGGTTGGTTTGATTGTTTGCTCACATTCTGCAGTTTATTGTGGACATAACATCTGTCGGCCCATGAGTTTTGAAATATCTCGAGCACGATGGGATAGTTTACTCCAGGCGAAGTTATAAGCTCATCTCCTAACTATGCCTTACACGAAGAGGACACGAATGATATCATGTAACCCATGATGTCCACTGTGTCTGTTCTCCACTTTGTTTGCATTTAGTGATTCCCAAACATATTTGTAACTCCTGCATGTTTTTTAGATGACATAGAAGTGAGCACTTGACGAATTTTAAAAGTAAAAAGGTTGCTTTCAAAGACTTAAAAATCAGTCCAAGGTTTAACGAACAAAAAGAAAATGGCTGACCTCGTTGAAATCGCTACGAATCGTTAAAAACTACGCTGAACTGACAAAGAAACAGAAGTCCAAAGTAAAGCTGGGAAAGCTATACTTCGAGTTAAATCTTAACCTTATTTATTTTATTTCAATGCAAATGTTTCCTTTTAAAAGATCTACTTCCAGGCAAGTATACTTCGATAGCTGCACTGGGATATATCCAAAGTCTTGCACTTACGGTTGGTAAAATGACCGCGGCGGAAAAAACTTAAACCACTTTTCGCAATGTNCCAGTTAGATACCAGAGAGTCACTCAACCACTCAGTCTGTCAATAAATTAGCCAGTCAGTCACCATTCACTTACCAAGTCAGTCACTAGTAAGTCAAGAACTCAGTTAGCCAGTCAGTCCACCTGTCACTCAGTCATTCATTTAGCCACTCAGTCACTCCAACGGAGTTCAGTCAGCTACTCGGTAAACTACTAGTCAGTCACCAGTCAGTTAGCCACTCAATCACCATTCGGTCGGCGAAGCAGTCATCCAGTCAGTCAGCTAGGCAGTCGTGAATCACTGACACAGTCATTTCGCCAGTCACTCACCAGTCGGACAGAGTGTAACCAGTCAGATAGCCAGTCAAATATCAGGGAGTCAGTCAACCATTCAGTTAGCCAGTCATTAAGCCAGCCAATCAGTCAGAAGTCAACTAGCCACTCGGTCACTAGTCGCTCAGTATCTCAGCAACCAGTCAGATAGTCAGTCAACTACCATTGGGTCACTCAACAATTCAATAATGCAGTCAGTCAACCAGCCAGCTACCCTCTAACTCACCAGTCAATTAGGCACTCAGCCACCAGTCGGTCAGTAAGTCAGTTCAACAGTCAAATAGCCATCAAGTACCACTGAGTCAGGCAACCATTTGAGGGCCACAAGTTTATTAGCCTCTGGCTATTGAGTGCTACCCTCTTTAAATAAAGGCTTTGATTCATTCATTCACCCAATAAGCCACTCAGTCAACCAAACAGTCAGCCTGGTGGCTCACCAGCCAATTAGTCACTAAGTCACTAGTCGGTCAGTTAACCAATCAGATCATCGGTCAGTTAACCAATCAGATAGCCACCAAGTGCCACTGTGTCAGTCAACCATTCAGATCATCCAGTCAGTCAACCAGTCAGTCTGTCACCAGTCAAAAAGCCACTCAGTCAACTCTCGGTCAGCAAGTCAGTTAACTAGTCAGATACCCAGTCAAGTACCAGTGAGTTAGTCAACAATGAAGTCATCTAGTCAGTAAAGCAGTCAGATGGCCACTCAAGTACCAATGAGTTAGTCAACCACTTAACCAGCCAGTTAGTCAATCAGCCAGTCAGTCACCAGTCAATTAGCCACTCAGTCAGCAAGTAGTTTAACCAGACAGAGAGTCATCCAAGTACCACTGGGTCAGTCAACCATTCCGTCATCCACCCAGAGATCCAGCCAGTCAGCCTCCCAGTCAGCGGTGAATTAGCCACTCGGTCACCAGTCGATTAACAAGTCAATCCACCACAGATAGCAAATCAAGTGGCACTAAATCAGTCAACAGTTCAGTCATAACTGCACTCAATCAGCCAGTCACTCACTATCAAAAACCCACTCAGTCATCAGTCGTTCAGTAAGTCAGTTGAACAGTCAAATAGCCATCAAGTACCACTGAGTCAGGCAACCATTCAATCAGCCACTCAGTCAACAAAACAGTCAGCCAGGTGGGTCACCAGCCAATTAGCCAATTAGCCACTTAGTCGGTCACCAAGTCAGTAAACTAATCAGATAGCCAGTCAAGTGCCACTGTGTCAGTCAACCATTCAGATCATCCAGTCAGTCAACAACCATAATCATCATCATCATTTTATTTATTAATGTAGGTTAAATTAAGGCAGCCCATACGGCTGCTGTCCACCTACAATATAGGTGTTACCAGTCAATCAGCCACTCACTCAATACTCGCTCAGCAAGTCAGTTACCTAGTCAGATACCCAGTCAATTACCAGTGAGTCAGTCAACCATCAAGTCACCTAGTCAGTAAAGCAGTCAGATAGCCACTCAAGTACCAATGAGTCAGTCAACCACTTAGCCAGCCAGTCAGTCAGAGTCAGCCAAGTACAGTCAGCGTCAGCCACCAGTCAGGGAGGCAGCCAAGTACCACTGGGTCAGTCAAGCATTCCGTCATCCACTCAGAGAACCAGCCAGTCAGCCTCTCAGTCAGCCGTCAATTAGCCACTCGGTCACCTGTCGGTTAACGAGTCAATTCACCAGACAGATAGCCAGTCATTGCGTCAGTGAACCTTTTAGTCAGACAGTCAGTCAACCAGGCAGCCAGCCACTCAGTCACCAGTCGATCAGGAAGGCAGTTTAATAGTCAGATAACCAGTCAAGCACTAATCATTCAGTCAACCATTCATTCAGCCAGTCAATCAACCAGCCAGAAAAGCCTCTCAGATACCATTCAATTACGCAATAAGTCACCAGTCGGTCAGCAAGTCACTTAGCGAGTCAGAGAGCCAGTGAAATATTAGTGAGTCAGTCATCCAGTTGGTCAACCAGCCGGTCAAAAGGTCAGTCAGCAGTCACTTAGCCACTCAGTCTCCAAACGGTCGGCACCTCGGCTAACCAGTCAATCTTTCAGTCAGCCAGTCGGTCAACCAGCAACTTAGTCATCAGTCACCACTGGGTAAGCAAGTCAGTCAACAAGTCAGATAGCCAGTTATATCCCATTGAGTTAGTAAACCTTTAAGTCAGCCAGTCAGTCAACCAAGAAGTCAGCTAGTCAGTCAATAGTGAATTAGTCACTAATTCAAGAGTCAGTCAGAGAGTCAGTTAACCAGTCAGATAGCCAGTCAAGTACCACTGGGTCAGTCACCTTTTCAGTCAGCTGGTAAGTCGACCAACCAGTCAGCCACTCAGTCACCAGTCGGTCAGCAACTCAGTTAACCAGTAAGATACCTAGTCAAGTACCAAAAGTTTGATAACCAGTCAGATAGCCACTAAAGTACCATTGAGTCACTCAACTATTCAGTCATCCAGTCTGTTAACTACCCAATCAGTCACCAGTTAATAAGCAACTAGGTCATTCAATCAGTAAGCCACTCAGTCAAGCAGCCAGTCAGCCTCTCAGTCACTACTGAATGAGGCACTCAGCCACCATTCGGTCACAAATTCAGTTAACGAATCAGAGAGCCAGTCAAATATCACTGAGTCAGTTAACCATTCAGTCATCTACGCACTCAGCCAGTAGGTCAGCAGTGAATTAGCCACTCAGTCACCAGTAAGGTAGTAAGTCGAATAAACAGACAGTTAACCAGTCAACTACCATTAAGTCAATCAATCTTTCAGTCGGCCTGTAAGTCAACCAGCTACGTAGTCACCAGTCAATTAGACACTTAGTTACCAGTCGGTCAACAGGCCAGTTAACCACTCAGATAGCCAGTCAAGTACCAGTGAGTCAGTTAACACAAGCCAGTGAGTCAACCACTCAGATAGCCACTCAACTACCACTGAATTAGTCAATCCCTCAGTAAGCCAGTCAGTCACCCACCCAGTCAGTTCTCAGTCTATTAGCCATTGAGTCACAAGTGGGTCAGCAAGTCAGTTAACCAGGCAGATAGCAAGTCAAGTACCACTGAGTCAGTCAACCTTTCAGACAGCCAGTTAGGCAGCCAGTCAGTCAACCAGGCAGTCAGCCAACCAGTCAGCACTCAATTGGCCACTCAGTCAGCAGTCAGTCAGCAAGTCAGTTAACCAGTCAATAGCCAGTCAAGTACCATTGAATCAGTCAACCTTTAACTCAGCCAGTCAGTCAACCAGGTAGTCAGCCAGGCAGTCAGCACTTAATTAACCACTCAGTCAGCAGTAAGTCAGCAAGTCAGTTAACCAGTCATGTAGCCAGTTAAGTAACATTGAGTTAGTCAACTTTTGATTCAATGAGTCAGTCAACCACGGAGTCAGCTAGTCAGTCACAGTGCAATTAG